TCTTTGTTCTTAGGCAGATACCCGGTGGCTCTCACCTGTCATTCTAGCTACTCAGGAGGCTGAGATCTGAGGATCCCAGTTTGAAGCCAGCCTGGACAGTCTATGAGACTTTTTGTTGTTGTCAGTTGTGGGGCTTGAACTCTGGGCCTGGGCACTGTCCCTGAGCCTCTTTGTGCTTAAGGCTAGCAGCTCTACCACTTGAACTATATAGCACCACCTCTGGTTTGATGGTGGTTCATTGGAGATGAGAGTCTCATGGACGTTCTTGTCCAGGCGATCTTTGAACTGAGATCCTCAGATCTCAGTTTCCTGAGTAGCTAGGATGACAGGCGGCTAACTCTTTTGTCTTTTCCCTGCTCTCATCCTTTAACTCTGTTATTGGGGGGGCGGTCTCCACTGCCTTTTGGGGGGTAGTAGCAGAAAACCTGCAGCGCTGCTATGAATGGGGGCAGAGAAATGGAGGTGGGCTGAGAAGAAATGGGGAAAGTTTGGGGATGCCCAGGGCTTAGGTTTGGCTTTACCTGCACATTCGGGGTTATCTTCATTAAAGTTGATTGCAAAGTCATGAGAGACCTAGAAACCAATTCACATTAAAATAAATAAATAAATAAAAGGAAGAAAGGAGGATTACAACTTGAATCCCATAAGGAGATGGGGGCAGGGGAGGGGGAGGGAGGATAATTAGGGTTTGCAAACAGATGCTGTTCCGTCCGTTCAGTTGTTAAGCAGCAGGATCTATTTTTTTTTAAGTCCTTACACAATATCCATCTGTGATAAGAGGGTGAATTCTAAGCTTCCTGGGTAGTTGAAGTGACAGGAATCATTTTTTTTTTAAATTCCCCCTTGAATCAGATAAATGCTTGCAGAAGGGAGAAATAAGAAAAAAAATGTTCAGGAAAAAAATATATATGTATATAACTACGGAATAAACTTCTAGTTAGAACTGACTACTAGCTGGGGGTTAGATCAGAATGAGCTCCTACTGGGTCCAATGATTGAAACAAAATGACATTCAAGCCGGGTGCCGGTGGCTCACGCCTGTCATCCTAGCAAACTGAGATCTGAGGATGGTGGTTTGAAGCCAGCCCAGGGAAGAAAGTCTGTGAGACTCTTACCTCTATTTAACTATTCAGAAAACAAAACAAAACAAAACTGGAAGTGGCTCAGTTGGTAGAGCGCTATCTTTGAGCACAAAGAGGCTCAGGGATGGTGCTCAGGCCCTGAGTTCAAGCCCCAGGACCAGCAAAAAAAAAGTAACTCAATCATCCAAGTAGCTTGTTCCATTCATATCATGATCCTCACCAAAACTCCAGCTAAGCTGTTGACATTTAAGGATTATTCTGATTCGATAAACAGAACTCTAGGCCAGGAAGATTTTGACATATATCCAGGTAAAATTGACCCCATTCTACTTTTTTTTTTTTTTCCAGTCAGTCATGGGGCTTGAACTCAGGGCCCGGACACTCACCCTGAACTTTTTCCACTCAAGGCTAGTGCTCTACCCCTTCGAGCCACAGCTCTACTTCCTAGTTTTGTGGTGGTTCATTGGAGATAAGAGACTCACAGACTTCCTTGCCCGGGCTGGCTTTGAAACCGGATCCTCAGATCTCAGCCTCTTGAGTAGCTAGGATGACGAGGCGTGCGTCGCTGGCGCCCGGCCCAGGTTACATTTTATGCCTAGTGGGTTGCCTGACTTTTCAGTGCTTAGTAGATCAATCAGAAATAGGACATTTTACAAACTATCCCCAACTTCTCTATTAAACAAGCATGTCATGTATACTCTATGGCCTGGATATAGCTGACCGGGCACCATTTCTATACTCTTATGGTGCTTTAACTCTAATGAAGGCTTCTAGACCTCTGTAGCTACACTGAACATGGAATATAAAGCTAATGAGAAGGAGGACAGGCCACAGAGAGATAGGTTTCCACCCACGGCTTACCCAGTGGCCACCCAGGGAGGGATTGGCTCTTTAAGAAGTAACCAGGGCTGGGAAGGTGGCTCAGTGGTAGAGCGCTTGCCTAGCATGCATGAAGCCCTGGGTTGGATTCCTCAGTCCCACATACACAGAAAAAGCCAGAAGTGGTGCTGTGACTCAAGTGGTAGAGCACTAGCCTTGAGCACAAAGAGGCTTAGGGAACAGAGCTCAGGCGCTGAGTTCAAACCCCAGGACTGGCAAAAAAAAAAAAAATAAAAGAAAATAAAAAGGACACCAAAGGAATAGAAGGTCTTTGATTTGACAGCAAAGATTGGCCTCTCCTCCTGACTTGTGATTCAGACACAGCCAGTAATAAAGATATTGATGAGAGGATATTGGAGGTGAGAGGTATTGGTGAGGCTCTGTCTGTCTAAAGGAGATGAATTCTCCAGTATTTTGGTAGGCTTGGTTTTTGTTTCCTGTTTTTTGTTTTTTTTTGCCAGTCATGGTACCTGAACTCTGGGCCTGGGCGCTGTCCCTCAGCTCTTCAGCTCAAGGCTAGAGCTCTACCACTTGAGCCACAGCACCACTTCCAGCTTTTTCTGCTTATGTGGTGCTGAGGAATTGAACCCAGGGCCTCATGCATGCAAGGCAAGTGCTCTACCACTGAGCCACCTTCCCAGCCCCTGGTAGGCTTGTTTTTTTGGGGGGAATGGGGCAGGGGTTGGTCATGGGGCTTGAACTTGGGGCCTTGGTGCTGTCCCTGAGCTTTTTCATTCAAGTCCATGAGATTCATGCATAATTAACCACGTATACACACACAAAGTCAAAAGTGGCGCTGTGTGTCTAGTGGCAGAATGGGAGCCTTGAGGGGAAAAAAAAAAAAGCTTAGGGACAGTGCTCAGGCTCTGAGTTCAAGTCCCAGGACTGGCATAAAAAAAAAAAAGAGCCCTTCCACTGAACCTTTAGATAATAACCCACATAAAACAACAGGAAACTGGGTCTCATCAAATGTAGGCTGCATGGAGCCAATCTCACTGGTGGCGAAGGTCGCTTCTGATTCTCTCTGCATCCTGTGGACCCACTGGGAAGGAGCTCCCAGTTCTCAGCCCTCCCCACGCCAGAGTCAACGAGGCCATCTCTTCCCACTTACCGTGTACTCGGGGGGTATCCTGGCACCGAAGCCGAAGGCCGGGAACATTTTGTCACTGAAATTAAACATTAGGAAAAAAAATGTGTTTCATTTTTTTTTTCATCTAAAGAGGAAGAAGATCATCAAGCGGCATCACCTGGTTAGCACAGGTGGCAAATGCCAACTGCTGAGGGGTGCCTCTGAAGGGTGTGAAAATGGGGCGTGGATCAAGAACGCCCTTGTTCGTCTTCTGAGTTCAGAGTTCAGTATAGTCACATGAGCACGTCATTTCTTCCTTGAACTGTAGTGGATCCCGGACCCTGGACCGGCCTTGAAATTTTCCTTCATCCTTCTCTTATCCTGTCCCTACCTTTCTGTTTCCTCTGAAAGAAGATCATGTTTCTATAGGGTATTAAACGTTATTTCCTACTAGCAATTCCAGGAAGCAGACTCACCTTCCCTCAACCCCCATGCCTCCCACTACCTTAACCAGCAACAAAGAAGACTCGTTTTAAGCAAACTTTGTGCTCACAGGGAGGTATGGAGCCCTTGAATATCAATCCTGGATAAAGGCATACCTTTCTTACCCGATAGACTTTTATTTTACTTCTCTGAGTAATAACACAACTGTGATTCGGTCCCGGAAGAATTCTTTATATTTCTCCCGTCTTTGGGTTGGTCAAGGAGGAAAATAAATTCAGATTTAGGCCTCCTTTTTTTTTTTTTTTTTTTTTTGCTGGTCGTGGGGCTTGAACTCTGGGCCTGGGCGCTGTCCCTCAGCTCTTCAGCTCAAGGTGAGCGCTCTACCACTTGAGCCACAGTGCCACTTCCGGTTTTCTGGTGGTTCACTGGAGATCAGAGTCTCACAGACTTTCCTGCCTGGGCTGGCTTTGAACCATGCTCCTCAGATCTCAGCCTCTTGAGTAGCTAGGATGACAGGCATGAGTCACCAGCACATGGCCTAGGGCTCATTTCTGAATGGAGACTTTTGTCCTGGGGAAGAAAATTGCCCTGGTCTGATTGACTTTGACAAAAATCAAAACAGCAAAGACAGATTCTCACCCATCATGTCCTCAACCGACTAACAAACAAGTCATCAGCCACCAATACTGGCATTGACAAACTATTACCAAAACACGGCCAACTTGATAAATCTGGGCTTAGAGATACAGAAAAGCTAGACTTCTTTAAAACCCAAATCTACAGTTACTCACAAGACTGAGATCTGAGGATCACAGTTTGAAGCCTGCGGGAGGGGGAAAGGGAGGGGGGAGATTTCCCATTAATCAACAAAAAGCTGGAAGTAGAGCTATGGCTCGAGTGGTAGAATATAAGCTTTGAGCACAAAAGCTAAAGGACAGAGCCTAGGCCCTGAGGTCCAAGACCTAGGGGACACACACACACATACACATACACACACACACACACACACACAAATCCGAGTCTAAATTCTCTAGAACATCACCAGCAACTCTTTCTCTCTGCTGTGTCATTCCAGGCTCTTTGCACATTACATCTAGCTTGTATCGGAGGAAATATTACTGCTGATAAATAAGAGACTCACAACAGCTTATAGAGGATTATCCAAAGCTCTGAGAAAAAAAAATATAAGGCTTCTGGGTCTTGGGAAATGGTGAAATACTTTGCTTCAGTAATGCCTGCCTTACCCAAACCAGGATGGTGAGACCTGGGAGGTAAATTTCCACCATATCGGCAAGTCTTCCCCTAGGTAGAGGAGGGTCTTGGGTCTTCAAACTCCACTTAGAAGTCAGAATCAAGGAATTTGGGAGGCTTCCCACCATGTAGATCTCTTTTTCTTCTTCTTCGGTGAGTTCAGGAGGGGGTGGATGTGAAATTCTATGCATTTCCAATCACTCAGCCAGTGTCTCAGCCTTAATGATATTCCTTTCATACATCTTAAGTCACCCTTGGGGGTGTGAAGTTTGTTGAGCAAGTGCCTTGCACTGTTATGTAACTGAGTTTTAAGAGTAGCAAGGTAAGAGAATATGCTTTACCTACATCGGGAATAATTAATGAGTCAGGAAGGATAAATTCTCTGAAGTTTGCCACCACAAAGCTTGTCGCTAAAAAAAATCGTGCTGAAAAAAAAAATCCAAACCTAAGCACAATAAGACTTTAACCTCTGTTCTCCCCGACAAAAATAAAACCTGGCAGACAGATTTTATTCAGAAAGTAAGAGAAAGTAAGTTAAGCACACAGAGAAAACATATAGGTGTCAATAGTCTTAAGAACTCGGGACTGAGTTGTGTGCTGGTAGCTCAGCTATGCACGAGGCTGAGATCATGGTTCAAAACCAGCCCAGGCAGAAAAGTCCATGAGATTCTTATCTCCAATTAACCACCAGAAAACTGGAAGTTGTGCTGTGGCTCAAAATGATAGAGCACTTGCCTTGAGCCCAGGCCCAGAGTTCAAGCCCGACAACTGCCAACAAAACAAAACAAAAAACAAAACATAGAGCTACCTTATGTCCCAGAAATTCTACTTCTGGGCATTTATCCAATAGAATACAAACAAGGTTACACTAAAGCTACCCATACAACCATGTTCATCACAGCATTACCATTGCCAAGTATGCAATCAGCCCCGATGTCCCGCAATGGATGAATGGATCAAGAAAATGTGATTCTCTCTCTCTCTCTCTCTCTCTCTATATATATATATATATATACACACATATACTTATATATACATATATAGTGGAATTCTAATCATCCATCAGAAAGAATGATGCTGTGTGACTCATAAGGAAATGGAAAGACAAATATTTTTTAAACAAAGTAAGCCAAACCCAGAGAAACATAGAGAATGTACCTATAAATCCACCAGGGCAATGATTTTTTTTTTTACTATCAGAATAAAATACTTTACCTGAAGTAGTTGTACAATGGGGTTATAATTCTATAAGTCAGATTATGATTATAATGCTTCTTTTTTTGGGGGGGGGTTCCGGTTGTGGGGCCTGAACTCTGGGCCTGGGCGCTGTCCCTCAGCTCTTCAACTCAAGGCTAGTGCTCTACCACTTGAGCCACAGCGCCACTTCCGGCTTTTTTCTTTTTGCTTATGTGGTGCTGAGGAATCGAACCCAGGGCCTCAGGCATGCAAGGCAAGCGCTCTACCACTGAGCCACCTTCCCAGCCCGATTATAATGCTTCTTGATCATTGTCACCCCTTTCTTTGTTCTCCCTCATTTCCCCTCTCCTATTCTCAAAAATTCCTTTTTAATCACCTCACTATTCAGATAGTGTCATCCAAGCTACTTAGGAGGCTGAGATCTGAGGATCCTGGTTCAAAGCCAGCCTGGGCAGAAAAGTCTATGAGACTCTTCTTTCCAATTAACCAGGAAAATTCTGCAAATGGTGGTTTCACTCAAGCCTTGAGTGGAAAGGCTAAGGGACATGTCTAGTCTCTGAGTTGAAGCCACGCCCCCCCATTACTAACTAGCTTTATACCATGGAGTCAACAGAGACTTATAGATGTTTGTGTTTATATTGGTTCTTGCTTAAAAGAAAAAAGACAAAAAAAAAGAGAAAGAAATCCTCTTAAACACCAGAGCATTTTCACTTCTATCTAGCAGTAATGGAATGGCAGAATAAATGTGATTCCATGTAACTTATGTAAATTACTCCCCATAGCAAATTCCCTAGGTGGAAATGGTCAATATTTATTATCAAGAAGAAAAAATTACCTAGGCACTGGTGGCTCAGGCCTGTAATTCTAGCTCCTCGGGAGGCTAAGGTCTGAGGATTGCAGTTCAAAGCCAACCCAGGCAAGAAAGTCCTTGAATCTCTTATTTCCAATAAATTACCAATAAAAGCCAGAAGAGCTATGAATATGGCTCCAGTGGCATAGTGCAAATATTGAGCAAAAAAAAAAAAAGCTCAGGGGCAGCCTCCAGATTTTGAGTCCAACTTCAGAACTGGCACCAAAAAAAAAAATGAAAAAATAAAAAGTAAAACTAGGTATTGGTGGCTCACACCTGTCATCCTAGCTACTCAAGAGGCTGAGATCTGAGGATTGCAGTTCAAAAAGCCAGCCTGGGCAGGAAAGGCTGTGAGACTCTTATCTCCAATGAACCACCAGAAAATCAGAAGTGGAGCCATGGCTCCAAGAGGTAAAGCACTAGCCTTGATTTGAAACAGTTAAGGGACAGTGCCCAAGCCCTGAGTTCAAGCCCCACCACTGACAAAAAAAGGAAAATAAAATAAAATATAAAAGAAGAACTAAATAATATCGATCTAATCTTTTTTTTTTTTTTGCCAGTCCTGGGACTTGAACTCAGGGCCTGGGCACTGTCCCTGAGCTCCTTTTGCTCAAGGCTAGCATTCTACCACTTGAGCCACAGCGCCACTTCTGGCTTTTTCTGTGTATGTGGTGCTGAGGAATCGAACCCAGGGCTTCATGCATGCTAGGCAAGCGCTCTACTACTAAGCCACCTTCCCAGCCCCTATACTGATCTAATCTTGAAGTCACCTCTGGGCAAACACACATACCCACATGGCCATCTAAATGTATACTGGGCTGACACACATTCCTGCTAAACTTAGCGGTAACTTTTTAACTTAATTTACAGGATTAGCTAGATCTGGGTTCAAATTCTGGCTTTGGCTATGTGTAGCCAAAGAAATGACTTAACTTTGTAATATTCTGCCATTTCAAAATAAGCTTGGTGCCAGTCACCCACATCTGTAAGTTCTAGCTGGTCAGGAGGCTGAGGTCTGAGGAACACAGTTTGAAGCCAGCCTGAGCAGAAAAGTCCATGAGATTATTCGTGTCAGTTAACTTTTCAATAGCCAGAAAGTGGAGCTGTGGCTCGAATGGTAGAGCTTCATCAGCCTTCAGTGAGAAACCTAAAAGACAGCACCCAGGTCCTGAGTTCAAGCCCCAGTATATAAAAAAAAAATGACTCCAAGTTCATTTCGGATTAGATGCAAACCCATGCTTCTAGATCTCCAAAGAACAAAAGATTTAACTAGCTAGACAATGGTCTCACAAACTAATAGGGAGACGAAAAGAACAGAGCCAAGATTTTGTGTGGTGACCGAAGTGTGCGTGGTGCAAATGCCGATCCTCTAGGTTTGGAGGCCGTGAAAGATGTATTTCTGTTATTCATTGAGCCTCTACATAAGGACTTATTAGGCTTGATTCCTACGCTTCTCAATTTCTAGACACACACACACACACACACACACCTACCTTACTCTTTTCCCAAGGATCAAGCTAGGATCACCTGATCTCTTTGGAGAGACAAGAAGGCTCTGGCCAGCACGAAGTCTCTTACCTGTCATAGTCTTGACAAATCTCTCCTACAGCTACCAAAGCCTTCAGGTACTCGTTGGGTTGGTAAGGGTGGATGTAATGTAGGGAGCAGCTGTTCCTGGGGTCCCCATTTGAGGCAGTGAAATCTATAGCTACCTGGAAGAGGAAAAAGAGGAGAATGAGTAGAATGGAAATGAACGCAATCACCGAAGGATTACAATTGGCCAGGAGAGACACAAGGCTTCAGATTACAGGGGAGGGGCGGGCGGGGGAAGGAAGGGAGGAGAAACACCTACATATTAGGTCAAGAAAAAGTACGCGAAGAAATTAGTGATCATCTTGGCAAATTGGTTATTGATTTGGTTGTGGAGATTTCTACAGCTCTCCAATGCCCTCCTCCCTTCTCCTTGTCTAAACAGAACTTGTGGCTGAGGTCAGAAAATCCAACCACTGGGGCTGGGAAGGTGGCTCAATGGTGGAGTGCTTGCCTTGCATGCATAAGGCCATGGGTTCGATTCCTCAGCATCACATAAGCAGAAAAAAGCCAGAAGTGGTGTTGTGGCTCAAGTGGTAAAGCGCTAGCCTTGAGCTGAAGAGCTGAGGGACAGCGCCCAGGCCCAGAGTTCAAGCCCCACGACTGACAAAAAAAAAAGAAAATCCAACCACTGTTCAACGTTCTCACTAGGTAGTAAGAGTAAAGGATATAGGGCTGGGAAGGCGGCTCAGTGGTAGAGTGCTCACCTAGCATGCATGAAGCCCTGGATTCAATTCCTTAGTAACACATATACAGAAAAAGCCAGGAGTGGTGCTGTGGTTCAAGTGGTAGAGTGCTAGCCTTGAGCCAAAGAAGCTCAGGGACAATGCCCAAGCCCTGAGTTCAAGCCCCAGGACTAGAAAAAAAAAAGAGTAAAGGATAAACTATCTGTCTTCCAATTTCACAACTCACTAAAGAAGAAAGTTCTGTGCTCCCTGGACAGAAAAATTCCATTTACGAGGGCACAGGTTAAAAAAAAAATCCCTGAAAACCAAATTCTGTGTTGATGATATTGTTTTCACAACAAAGCTATCTTCTTCGTTTCATGAGTGGCCAGTTGCAGAGCAACTCAGTGAAGCAGTTATAACAACTTTTCTGCAAGGACCAACTCTACAGAAGGCATTCTGCTTTTTGGTTCTTGGGTTTTCTGTTGTTTTTTTTTCCCCTACCAGTCCTGGAGCTTGAACTCAGTGCCTCGGCACCTTCCCTGAGCTTCTTTTTGCTCAAGGCTAGCGATCTACCACCTGAGCCACAGCACCACTTCTGGCCTTTTCTGTGTATGTGGTACTGAGGAATCAACCCAGAGCTTCAGGCATGCTACATTCCTATTTCTGGTTCTTTTACTCAAGAACTTCTGCCTATCACAAAGAAGGTACCCAAATGTTTGGCATACGGATGAAGGAGTACATAATCCTCCTAATAAAAGTTGACTCATCTAGCCAGGCGCCGGTGGCTCACACCTGTCATCCTAGCTACTCAGGAGGCTGAGATCTGAGGATCGTGGTTCAAAGCCAGCCTGGGCAGGAAAAGCTGTGAGACTCTTATCTCTAATAAACCATCAGAAAACCGAAAGTGGCGCGGTGGCTCAAGTGGTAGAGTGCTCTCCTTGAGCTGAAGAGCTGAGGGACAGTGCCCAGGCCCAGAGTTCAAGCCCCATGACTGAAAAACAAACAAAACAACTAAGATAAGGAAGTAAACTAGGGGTCTTTACTTCTTAGCCCTTTCTCTAAGTCCAATGACTTTAAAAAAAAATATTAAACTTCTATTTTCTCATGCGACTAGATCGCAAGCAAGAGTCTGAAGTACAAGGTAGTCTGAAGATTTTATTTTTTTGGCCAAGTGGCAGTTCCTAAAATCTCCCTCATGAAGCTGGAGATAAAATGTCCCTCTTCAGGAGGTGGCCTTCTACTGGGGTGGCAGAGGGGGAGGAGAAGGGTTCTCTGTGCTTTTTATTGTTAGCATGCGTGGAAAGAGAACAGAGTGTGAAAGGTTAGATTTATTTTAGGGAGCAACGGGGAGGGAAAGCGAAAGACGGGATTAAGTCGAGAAATAAAGGCAACAAAGTCACAGGGGAAAATGCCAGGCCGGATTCCTGAAAGCCAGCGGGTTCAGCAGAGCCTCTGCGTTCCCATTTATCTGCTCCGAAGCATTTTGGGAGAACCCGTGGTACAGGCTCCAATCTTCTCGGTGGGCCACCACCAGAGGACAGGGGCCCATTTCTTTTTCCTTCTGCCTAGGAGGCCACTGTTCATTTTTGAGGCAGCACTTTGCCAAAAAAGAATCTCACAGAGCAAGAATGAAAAAAAAAAAAAAATCTCAACACTCCCTGGATGTCACCGAGTCTCCAATCTCCTGGAGCTGGATTCTCAGCACAGGCTGGAAGTGAAGGATGGGGCCTCAACTTCTTAGGCCTAATTGGATCATCTTTTCTGATCTCTCTTATTACCCACAATCCACCTTTCCCATACCGCATCCCAAGAAAGCTCTAAAATAGGTTAGTATACAAGGGGTCTTGGTTAGAGGGAGGGAAGGCTCGTTCTAAGGTCATTTCTTGAATGAGAGGCTAAATTCTTAAGTCTTCTGTTTCTACAAGATTCCATGGTGGAAGCTGGAAGTGGGAAGGCATTTGTTCCCCCAACTTGGTTGCTTCTTGTTTTTTGTTTGTTTGTTTGTCTTTTAACCACAGGTTCAGTAGACATGACTTACATGCTCATTTCTGAATCTATTCATATTTTAACCCAGGATAGAAAATAAAGATTGAAGCCAGGCACCCGTGGCTCATATCTGCAATCCTACCTGAGATAGGAGGATCAGCATTCAAAAACCAGCCCAGGCAGAAAAGTTGATGAGACTCTGAGGTCCGAATAACCAACAAAAAGCCAGAAGTGGAGTGGCTCAAAGTGGTGGAGTACCAGTCCTGAGTGAAAAAGCTCAGGGACAGGGCTGGAAAGGTGGCTCAGTGGTAGAGTGCTTACGTACATGCACGAAGCCCTGGGTTTGATACCTCAGTACCACATAAACAGAAAAAGCAGGGTGTGGCGCTGTGGCTCAAGTGGTAGAGCGCTAGCCTTGAGCAAAAGAAACTCAGGGACAGTGCCCATGCCCTGAGCTCAAGCCCCAGTGCCAGCAAGTGTGTGCATACACGTGCGCACACACACACACACACACACACACATACAAATAATAAAATGGCTTTATCATAGTCCACTTAACAGGCAGTTTTGTAATTTGCATCGCCATTATTTTATTGTTAGACATTACTGTGGCTTGTGGCTTGTCTCTGAAAAAAAAAATCTATGTTACCCTGAAGAATTTGTTCAAGGGGTTAGGGGAGCAGGGAGGACAGCTGTAAAATAATAATAATAATGATAATGATGATAATAACTTTCAAAGGAAAAGCCTTTCATTCTTCCACCGTCTTCTTCCCAAAGACCTTATGGAGTCTGTCTCTCCGGTGCTGTCTGTGGTTCTGTCATTGGGTGTGTGAAATTCTAGTCGCTGGTTTTATTTTCAGCTGTGGTGCCAGGTGTCAAACCCAGGCTCCTGTTCTCCTCCTCTCACCTCTTCCAAGATTGTCTGCAGTTCTTGTGACTCCAGGACTTGCCAGAGGTACCAAGCTTGTCCTCTGGGGGTGCCCTTGACTTCCACCCCCTTTCCCTCCCCCCCCAAATCTGCCTGTGAGTGCATTTTCTAGGATGTAGAAGAGGCAGATTGAGGATCAGGTTCTCAAGTTATCCAGGTGACCAAAAAAAGAATGAGCCTCATTGACCTAGAGCTTCCTTCCTCACTCCCTGAATCTCTTTCCCTTGCAGATGGCTAGATTCTAGCCTAAACCCTCTGCCCAATCCTCAGATGGCTATCCTCCTTTGCCCCTCTTGCCTCGCCTTGGCTTGCTTTTCCCCCCAACCCTCTCCCTCCCTCTCTCTCTCTCTCCCCCCCCTTTTCTCTCCTTCCTTTTTCTTTCTTTCCTTTCTCTTTCTTTCTATCAACCCTTGGGCTTGAAACTCATGTTCTCCCTTGTCTCTTTTTGCTCGAAGGCTGGCACTCTACCACTGGAGCCACAGCCCCACTTTTGGGCTTTGTCTTTCTTGCTTTTGGTCAGTTGTAGTCTGGGCCTGGGCGCTGTTCCTCAGCTCTGCAGCTCAAGGCGAGCGCTCTACCACCTGAGCCACAGTGCCACTCCTGATTTTCTGGTGGTTGATTGGAGATCAGGGTCTCACGGCCTTTCCTGCCTGGGCTGGCTTTGAACCCTGATCCTCAGATCTCAGCCTCCTGAGTAGCCAGGATGACAGGCAGTAACCATGGGTGCCCGGCTGTCATTTAATTAATGAACTCTTTGCATTATGGTGTTTAAGAAAGGATTAGCTGGTGATGCTGCAGCAAGAAGAGACGGGAGCCTTACCTCTCAATCACCTGCCTGTCAATCACCTGCCTGTCAATCACCGGGCCCGGGCCTGAACCGCCCCCCTCCAGCCCCGCCACGCCTCCTTTGGACCGCAATAGGCTCCCCAGGCTCTGAGATCACTTCCTCCTCCGCTGAACCAACCCCCTCCCTGGCCACGCCTCCTTCAGACAGCGATAGGTTTCCCCAGGCTCTGAGGTCACTTCCTGAACCAACTCCCTCCCCCCAGGCCACGCCTCTTTCAGACAGCGATAGGTTCCCCAGGCTCTGAGGTCACTTCCGCATCTGCTGTGGTCCCGCCTCCCACCTCTCCCTATATAAAGCCTCTCAGCCAGCGTCCCGCCCTCTCTTCTTCTCTGCTCTCTGCCAGTGTCCGTCTTGGGTGGGAGGTAGGGGGGCGGTAGGCCTTCTGTCTGCTCTGCCTTCTGTCCCCTCTCCCCATCCACTCCTCTCTGCCTGACCCTCCTGGCGGGTCTCCTTTCAGTGAATCTCATGGCTACTAGAGCCACACGGGAGTTGGTGACGCCTTAACCACATGGAGTCGGTCGGGAGAGCGAGAAAGGAGGACGAGGCAGGGAGCAGGGTCTTCAGGCAGGCCGTGGGCAGAGGGGGGTGAGGGCACACTGGTTGAGAACCCTTGGGGGGGTACACCTCTGTGTTTGGAGGTGGGGGGGATGGGGAGCCTATTCTTGGCAGCTTTAACTCCCCAAGGGCAAAGCAAGGCCTTGGAGGTCGAATGTAAGGAGTCGTTCTAGAGCAGGAGGAGAAGGAATCTACAGGATCTAAAGCAAACGGAAATCGATCAGAGCTTTCCCTTGGTGTTGAAGGCAGGGGTGTGTGTGTGGGGGGGAGGTGGAGGGGAGGGACCTATAAATAGTTTGCTGAGATCATTCCTTTGCCTTATATCTTGGGAAGCGCTTTCCAGTCGTTCTCCTTTATGACATTTGCTTGCTTGCTTCGCTTCCAGGAGACTTGGATCCAGAAGAAGAATCAACCCTGAGGACAGCTGGAATATGTGTGTGTGTGGGGGGGGGAGAGAACATGCCTGCTCCCTTCTGTATGAAACCAGGGTGTATCATTAGAGAAAATGAAGCTTTAAAGAAGCAACTAAATATCCAGGTGAGGGTGTCTCACGCCTGTCATCCTAGCTACTCAGGAGGCTGAGATCTGAGGATCGCAGTTCCAAGCCAGCCTGGGCAAGGAAAGTCCCTGTAAGACTCTCTACCTCCAATGTACCACCAGGAAAAGCCAGAAGTGGGAAGCTGTGGCTCAAGTGGTAGAGCGCTCACCTTGAGTATGAAAGTTGTTCAGGGACAGTGCCCAGGCCCTGAGTTCAAACCCTAGGATGGATTAAAAAAAAAAAAGATGACTAACTTCTGAAAGCATTCAAGGGTAAATGAGCATTGCTCTTGACTTTAGGCAGGACATAGGTAGTAGTCTGTCCTGAGATGAGAGCAGGGAGCAGCTGACTATTCAATCTCACTGTCTCATTCCCCTGTGGGGCTGCCAATTTTATTCATCTTTGGAGACAATCTCCTACCTCTGGTCCCAGGTATACACTGATTGTGTCAGTTCTCTTGGATCCCAATCTGAACAATAACAACAACAAAATGCAACCGATTTGCTATGCTTTCCTCCTGTGACAAAGCACTGCAGAGAATGAACAAGGGCTTAGCGTTGTGATTATACTTCTCTACGACAAGAAACAAGTAAATATTGTACTTCTTGGTTTATACCCATGTTGTTTTCCCATGGGTTTTAGCACATCCTCCCCACTCCCCTTCCCCGACTCTGGGTTTTCTTTCTGAAGGTTACAATTAGCCCTAAACCTAGGGAGATTCTGAGTATTAAATGGGTGAAAACCAATGGTTCCAAGGCTGAGAACCTTAGAAAGACCCAGTGAGACTGAGACTAGATACCCAGTCTTACGTCTCAACCTGATTTCAGTCTGATTTTCTCATCTTTGGGATTCAACATTTGATAAATGAACTGGATGGCTCAACTTTTGGAAATGAGTATTGAGGCATGACACAGGTGCACCATACTTGGTTCATGCGCATGCAACCAGGATATGGAACCTACGTTCAGCATCATCTACCAGTGTGGCTCCCTTCCTACTCATCCTTCTTATGGGATGATGGGAAGTGACAATGCATACATGCCACCCTGTATACATGGTAGCTGTGCAACAGTGTATACAGTTACTGTTACTGAAGGCAGAGGAAGCCGCAGGGAGGGCCAGCTGTGGTTGAAGCATGAATTTCCTCAAATGATGCTGAGAATTATACTTTTTTTTTTTTTTTTGGTCGGTTGTGGGGCTCGAACCTTGAGCCTGGGCGCTGTCCCTCAGCTCTTCAGCTCAAGGCAAGCGCTCTACCACTTGAGCCACAGCACTACTACATCATTGGAGATGAGAGTCTCAAGGACTTTTCCTGCCCAGGTTGGCTTTGAACTGTGATTCTCAGATCTCAGCCTCCCGAGTAGCTAGGATGACAGGCATGAGTTACCGGCACCTGGCTTTCAACTCATTTTCACACAAGATTCTAGACAATATTTCAGCGATGGGTCTTTTGAACAGAGCTGACACAGGGTTGGAGTAGCATTTTGAATCTCTGATGTCACTCCTGCCCTCCCCTGTCCCCCCAACCCAACCATCCACTCTCTGCTCCATTGGCACAAACAGACATGGGAAGGACTTACTGTAAACTGGATCTGACAGCCACCCATGATGTAATCCAGGAAGGAATGCATCTTGTGAATCTGTGCAGAAGAGGAAAGTGGGTTAAGAACACTCAGATGTTTCCGTACAGACTGGAGGCTCAACTGGGGAGATAGGCAGGAGAAAGGAGGAAATATCAGGAAGAGAGAAGAAGGGAGAGAGCGAGAGAGCTTGCTGGGGGAAATTGGGTCAGCTGATTCTGTTCCATTAAAAGAGAGAAATAAAGCAATGTCAATACAGATGGGCCTGTGAAGGCTGCAAATTTCCACCTACATAGTCCCTTTTCTTTTGGTTTAGACATCCTTGTAATTAACTTCTTCCTCCGGGGTGAGACCAAAACCATATTTTTGAGGGTCACTGTTGTTTTGAAATCAATAGTGTCTCATACTTGGCTTCAGTATTCTTCCCCGGGTCTAAATCAGAAGTCTGGAAATGTTCTTAATAAGCAAGTAATCTAGATTAGTGTCTTGAAGATATCAGACACCTGAGAAATCTTTTATTGATAATTTCTAGCTAAAATCTTGCCATAAACTCAGCAGTTACTGAGCACTTACTGTATGCCAGTCGCCATTCTGTATCCCATTCAATGTTTAGAACAACCCCATGGGGATATTATTAGTATTTATTGTAGGTCATGGGGCTTGAACTTGGCCTGGGCACTGTCACCGAGCTTTTCTGCTCAAGGCTAGGACTCCACCACTTGAGCCACAGCACCACTTCCGGTTTTCTGGTGGCTCATTGGAGATTAGAGTCTCACGGACTTTCCTGCCAGGGCTGGCTTTGAACGGCGATCCTCAGATCTCAGCCTCCTGAGCAGCTAGGATGACAGGCGTGAGAAACTGGCATGTGAGAAACCATCAGAGCCTATCTGATTCCATTCAGGGAAGCTTCTCAGAGATAAAACTCACAGAATCCCATGCTGGTCTCTGTCGGTGCGACATCATCAGTTGCTAGGTACACACATCTAGTGACAGACTCTCCTGAGGGTCCGTGCTTGCTTGGCCCTATGAAGAGTGTCTGCTCTTACTCCCTAGTGACATGTTTCCTTTAACACTTCCTGATAGCAGCAAGAAAGTAAGAGCTTGAGTGACAAGCAGGGGCTACGGGTGCACTGGTATGAGATGCCTTCCTGATACAAGATCAACTTGTGAGACATCAGGGCAGCTAGATGCACAGATAGCTACGGAATCATCTAGGTCATTTCTCCTGCTCCTTGGCTCAGCAAAAGCTCACACGAATGTTTTGGATAGACCCAGGATTTTATTTCTGTAGGTGAATGTGTACTGTCCCCTAGGATTAAAATTAAGCCAGAGAGGGGAAGAAACCTGCAGACACGGACGGGCGACTCTTAAGTGCTAATTGCCTGTGTAAAGATCACTTTGCTACTGAGGGTTTGACGGAGGCTGGATGGCATGGCATACCACGGGTCGCCAGGTGAGGAGAAGAAGGAGTGAAGACTTCTAGAAAAAAACTCTTATTGGACTGTGATTTTTTTCCCCCTCCACAGGAAGGAGGAAAACTATGCAATACATGTTTTAGCAGGCCTTCTCTAGGGGTAGATTCTTAATTACCTGATAGGGTGATCGAATACATGGGAAATGTTGGTTTCACCAGCAAGCATCCCTAGTAGGGAGGTGCTTGAGGTTAAGGACTCACAATGGGAGTGTTTGTACACTGCCTGGCAGGCAAGTTGTCTTTGCTTGTCTCTGGGAATTCAGCTGACCCTGAGAGTCAGCAGTCCCTCCCTGGTCCCACAATTAAAAACAAGCCTGAGTAATAACAATGATCTCCACCAGCCCATCATCATGCAGGGCTGTCTAGTCTCCGTTGATTGGTCCAGAGTGTAGGCATGTGACCCAAGCCAGACCAATCAACTTTTCCCCTTTACTCTCCTTGTTCTATGAGAATTGTAATCCTGCTGGCTGCCAGGGAGACATGAGTCTGGGGGAAAGATAATTCCCCCAGTTTCCAGGCCAGAGCTATGGAGTATGATTTGCTCTCAATACTAGACAGCCTTAGACAGCTGAGACTTCCAACAAAACTACACAATGAGGAGGGCAAGCTAACAATACCCCACAGTGTATGCTGAGCTATGTCTGGGAGCCTGCCTGTATTCAGTGCATTTTCAGTTTACAAGACCTGCAAATTACCACAAAAAAACACATTAAAAAAAAAAGAGGTTTGGAGACAGGCACCAGTGGCTCATACTTGTTATTCCAGTGACTCAGGAGTTCTGAGATCTGGGAATCATGGTTTAAAGCCAGCCCTGGGCAGGGAAATCCGTGAGACTCTTATCTCCAAAATAACCACCAGAAAACCAGAAATGGCGCTGTGGCTCAGAGTGGTAGAGCCTTGAGGGGAAAAGAAAAACAAACAAACAAAAAAAGAGCTCAGGGACAGTACCCAGACTCTTGAGTTCAAGCCCCATAGCCAACAAAATAAAGCATTTGAGGACTGAGGGATTGGAGACATGGCTCAGGTGGTAGAATGCCAACTGTGAGCAAAAGCATCAGATACCGAGTTTGAGTCCCGGTCTCAGACCAACAACAAAAACTGAGGACTGCCAGTGTGTGTAAAATTTAGATGGCAGGTTAGTTCTGCATGGTGGCATCAGACAAATATGGGTTAATAATACCCCCATTCCCCTTACCACTCCTGTGCGTCTGAGCTACTTACACGACCAGATGGGCAAGCGGAAACGTCAGGGTGGTAATAAAGAGCGAGATGGAATTGATTTGGCGTCCCTCACAGCCCTCCACTGGCTGAGGGATTCCACCTTGTGTATGATTTCAAGGGGTTTTAATTATCACAGGGGATTCTCGGTGAAGCCAGGAGGAGGCTCTTTGGGAGAAAACTCTAGACCTTCTCATCTTCTCCCATGCCCGATTTTCATGTGATCCTTGAAGCACTGAGAAAGAGTCACAGGGGCTGGAAAGGTGGCTCTGGTAGAGTGCGCACCGAGCATGCAGGAAGACCGGGGTTCGATTCCTCAGTATACCACATACACAGAAAAAGCCAGAAGTGGCGCTGTAGCTCAGGTGGTAGAGTGCTAGCCTTGAGCAAAAGCTCAGTGCCCAGGCCCTGAGTTCAAGCTCCAGCATGGCCAAAAACAAGCACTGAACATTGTCACAGACATCTTGTAGATGGTCTAGAAAATGTAGGCTGCCCTTTGGGGTTCTTTGTTCAGATCTGTCCTGACTTTGGGGGATGGAGAAAGGATGGTCACATTGGGTTATCAGAGATCCCAGGCCACTCGGGAGACTATATAAATATATATATATATATATATATATATATATATATATATATATATGTACATACATATTATACATTATGTACAGATTACATATATATGTATTTATATATATTTCCTCTTTGTATGTCCATGAATACATTGATTTTTTTCCAGTGGCTCACACCTGTCATCCTAGCTACTCAGGAGGCTGAGATCTGAGCCTCCCAGCTCAAAGCCAGCCCAGGCAGGAAGAGTCCATGAGACTCTTATCTCCAATGAACCACCAGAAAACCAGAAGTGGCGCTGTGGCTCAAGTGGTAGAGCGCTCGTCTTGAGCTGAAGAGCTGAGGGACAGTGCCCAGGCCTAGAGTTCAAGCCCCACAACTGACCCCCAAAAAAGGAGGGGGGGACATTTCCTCACCAGAGTCTCTCCCTCTGACCATCTCATTCGAACGCTGGCTCCCAGAACTCCCTACCTTCACACTCACATTCCTGGAGGAGCGCGAGCTGCATGCGTACGTACCTTACACTGATTCAGGATCACCATGCCTGAGTTTTTGTAATTCTTCTTCTTGGCTTTGTACTTGGGGTTGATGCATTCCCACTGTACCTGCGGTGAGAAGATTTGTAGCCATGAGAACCTACTCTGCTCAGGGGGAAACCAAGTCACTCAGAAGATGAGGAGCTCAAGCTTCTGACTGCGACTCTTGAGTCCAGTGTCCTACACTCTCCTGTACTAGAAGGCCGAGAGAGGTCTCAAAATGGTAGCCATTGAATGGAAGGGAGCCACACAGGGGAACTCTGACATCAGAATGTCTGGAGTTTGAACTCAGGGCCTGGGTGTTGTCCTTTAGCTTTTTTTCACTCAAGGCTGGTGTGCTACCACTTGAGCCACAGCTCTACTTCTGGCTTTTTTTTTTTTTTTTTTCTGATGATTGATTGGAGATAAGAGTCTCAGGGACTTTCCTGCCCAGGCTGGCTTTGAACTATGATCCTCAGATCTCAGCCTCCTGAGCAGCTAGGATGACAGGCATGAGTCACCAGTGCCCAGCCTTTATTATTATACAGTTCTTTATGAATTATATCTCCATCAAGCTGCTAAAAAAATACCTTCTAGCTAGGTGCCAGTGGCTCATGCTGATAGTCCTAGCTGCTCAGGAAGCTGAGATGTGAGGATTGCAGTTCCAAGCCAGCCTAGGCAGGTAAGTCCGTGGGACTCTTACCTTCAATGAACCAGCAAAAAGCTGAACAGTAGGTGTGGCATGCTAGCTCATGAGTAAGCCATCAGAACAAGCGCAGAATGAAGAGGCATGCAGGGTGGAAATGGCCAAAATGGAACATAGCACCTGAAGGCTGGCTGTGAGTGTTCCCTGCAGTCAGGGAAGGGCTTTCCAAGAGCAAATAAGCAAACAGCAGCACCTGGTAAATGTCATTTGCAAGTACAACATTCTTCTTATTGACACAGAAGAACAAAGGCTTAATATCAGGGCCTTGCCTGAGCACACAGCAAAGGCAGCCGGAGACTTAGAAGGGACGAGAGGACCATGTAGAGAGCCTTTACCCTTTTCTCTCATTTACATGGCTGCCTGGTGTTAGTTATTTATTGTTTGTATTTTTATTTTTTCCACTCCTGGCGCTTGAACTCTGGGCCTGGGCGCTGTCCCTCAGCTCTTCAGCTCAAGGCGAGCGCTCTACCACTTGAGCCACAGTGCTACTCCCGGTGTTTCTGTGATTCATGGGAGATCAGCGACCCCCTGGACTTTCCTGCCCAGGGCTGGCTTTGAACCACGATCCTCAGCTCTCAGCTTCCTGAGTAGCGAGGATGACAGGCGTGAGCCATTGGTGGCCTGGTTTTTAGTTCTTTTTTTTGAATAGAGACCTGTGTTCTTGTCTCTGGTCAACCTGGATCATAATCTTCCTGCCCAGCCTTCCCTTCTAGCTGGAATGACAGGTTGAGATGGGGTGTTTCATAACTTTACCCAGGCTGGTCTCAAATTGCTATCCTCCTGATCTATCTACCTACCTATCTACCTACCTATCTATCTATCTATCTATCTATCTATCTATCTATCTATCTATCTATCTATCTATCTATCTATCTATCTATCTAAAGGTGTATGTATGTATCTATCCATTTATCTATCTACCTATCTATATATCTACTTACCTACCTAAGTTTATATCTGTCTGTCTGTCTACCTATCTCCCCACCATTTGAGCCAGAGCTCCATTTCTGGCTTTTGGGCAGCATATTGGAGATAAGAGTCTTGTGGATGTTCCTTCCCAGGTTAGCTTCAGACCTTGAATTTCAGATCTCAGTCTCCCAAGTAGCTAAGATGACAGGCGTGAGTCACCCGTGCTGGGTGACTGTGGTATTTCTTAGGGAGTCAACTGCCCTGATACTTATTACCAATCCCCAGAACGGTCTTCAGGATTCCGTGCTCGGATTGACTCTCTGACAGCCATGGAGAGATACAGGATTCCTCGCACATAGAGAAATGGTGCAATCTGACAGCAATTTAGGAAGTGGAAAAACCTCGGGTCTCCATCTCTTAAGTAAACAAGTAAAGGAGGGAGAAATTGAGAATCGCCCTCAGATCACCAGCTCGGCTAACGGAACTGGGTACTGCTGTTCATTGAAGACAGGGATCAGAGGCCAAATGGATTTGAGGGCCAGGGGATGGGTTAGCATTTGTCCACAGAGAAATCCCCCCTCACTCCTGACCTCTAATAAACACCATGATTCTCTGAACTCATGACAGGTAATCATTGCTTCTCCTTACCAAGATGCCTACGTCTCTGTCTCTAAACCAGCTGGGCTGCTTGTCATTTATTGATTGCTGCAAGTTGACACTCCAAGACAGCCTCCCATTCTGTTCCCCCCCCCCCCCCCCCCCCCAGGAAGAAAAGGCTCATGGAATGACCAGAAAAGAACAGATGACTCCATTTGTATGGCTTAATCGGTTTGGAAACCACAAGCTGCCTTGAGAGACTGGCTGACGGGCCAACTAGATTACTGTGTATTTCTAACATAAGCCCATTTACTTGCTTCTCTTGTCTAATTATTGACATAGGTGTTCAGGACTGGGGTGTGTCAGAAAAGGGAACAGATTACCATCCCCCTCCCCCAATCATGGGGGAATGAACCGTTCCTGACCAATCACCGGAAATGAGCCAAATGGCGGGGATGAACTGATGAGCCCAAGCAAGAGTAGATCTTGAAGTTGAACTGGCCATCTATGGGACAGTAGAAAAGAAACTCCAGCAGGGCACCAGTGGCTCACACCTGTCATCCTAGCTACTCAGGAGGCTGAGATCTGACAGGATCGCGGTTCAAGGCCAGCCTGGGGCAGGAAAAGTCTATGAGTCTCTTATCTCCAATGAACCACCAGAAGTGGTGCTGTGGCTCTAAGTGGTAGAGTGTTCGCCTTGAACAAAAGAGCTCAGGGACAGCACCCAAGCCCCGAGTTCAAGCCCCACAACTGAAAATGAATGAAAGAATGAATAAATAAATACATAAATAAATAGAAACCCAAACATTCTAACCAGACCAGAAATCAATTTCTTTCCTGTCCTGTCCTGTTCTGTCCTATGGTACTAGAGTTTGAACTGAGGACCTCACACTTGCTAGGCAGGTGCTATACCACTTGAGCCATGCCCCAATTTGATAGAAACTGGCATGCGGATGAGGCTTCATGCCAACTTAACCTCCAATATTTAAATTGTTTAATTGAGGTGTGTGTGTGAGAGGGAGAGAAAGAGAAAGGGAGAGAGAGAGAGAGAGAGAGGGGAGGGGGGAAGCCATATTAGGTCAGACAATCTAAGAGGCAGAGAGAATCTTCTTGTGCCTCTTAACCTATCTTCATTGGCCTAGCCATTTGTAGCCAGTCTTACTGAGTCACGAAGCTTGCTGACTGTCAGTAAGACAGTTTAGAAGTTCCTTGATGAAATGAAATGAGAAAACAACAACAACAACAACAAATGTATACAAAAATGTGAGCTGAAAATTGCTACCAGTGACACCAGTTGTCAAAAAGAAGCGTCTCTTCCCTGTCTACATCATAATTATTCTGTGCAGAACACGTTCCCCAGAAGATGTCAGGATCTAATGCGACAACTCAGCTGGGAAGAAATCCTATGCTCTTACCCCGATGGAATTGGACACAGATTTCTTTGCAAGATGGGCGAGCAGAGAGATGAATTGCAGTGGTGTCAAACTGATCAGCCCTTCTGGCCCTGGTAATTGAACTTTTCTGCTCATTGGGCTTTCCTTTCCCATAGCTTTATTTGTTCTTTGAGAAGAGGAAACCGATCCCTACCTGAAACTGTATGCCCATTTAATTCACCGGTGGTGTCACAACCTCATCAATTGGATAGGAAAACAACAACAATAACAACCCAGCAAACCAAGCTTGCTGCCAGTGGCTCACACCTGTCATCCTAGCTACCTCAGGAGGCTGAGATCCAAGAATCCCAGTTCCAAGTCAGCCTGGGCAGACAACTTTCAGCGACTCTCACCTTTCCTTTCACCAGAAAAAAAAAAAAAGCCAGAAGGGGAGCCATGCATGACCTCAAGTGGTAGAGCATTAGTCTTGAGTGAAAAACAAAAATCTCAGGGGCTGCACCCAGGCCCTGAGTTCAAGCCCCATGACCAGCATCTCAATCAGTCTAGAAGCTAGGGAAGACTTCTTAGAACTAGACAGGCTGTCTAGAATGAGAGCCGATGGACGAGTAGAGTTCAAGGTACAGAGGAACAAGGGATGGTTGATTCAATGTCTTCAGAAGAGGCCTTTTATAGTTGGGTCAACTAAATCCATCTTAGTTTCCATTTTTTCCTAATAGCAGAGTGATTTCCCATTTCCTTTAACCTTTATGTCTGTGATATTAAAAAATCCCTATTTTCTCATGACCAACATCCATGAAGGACTTTATTTTTTTTCACTTTCGTCAATGTTCATATTTATGCCAGGACTACCATCTTCCTACTTAAGTTTTCCAAGTAGCTTAAATGAGAGGTCTGTACCACCATATTCATCGATATATTAGTTGATAGATTATTGATATATTGATTGATTTTTTTGTTTTGTTTTGGGATTGGAGCTGGTCTGGAACTCTTTAAGCTTCCCGATTTCCGTTTCCTGAGTAAACTAGGATTACAGTCATGAGCCACCACACCCAACTTCATAGAAGATTAAACAAAATAAAAAGGAAAACCACGACATCTGTTCCTCCTATATGGACAGGTTCACTGTGTCTTGTCTATCGGTGTGAATCAATGCGTTGGGGAAAGGTGGGGGATGGGCTAGCCCATTCTGCTTGATGATAGAAATTGCCTTTGATGGGGGGAAAACCCAGGCTCATCAATACTGAGGTGGCTTTGTCACCCATTTCATAGCTGAAAGCTAAGGTTCGTTACATTTAGCCCTGTGGGCCAGACCGTCATGCATAATAATGCTCAAGAGTAACATGCAATTAGCACCGTGATTGATGGACAAAGATGGCAGGGCAATCAATCATACTGTATGAACGCTTGCTCGGGTGAATTCTTGGTTGTCTCAGCACTTTACTGCCTAGGATGGTGGTTGTGGATTTCTAGGAGACTTGATTTTC